ACCAAGCCTCACCTCACTGGGCAATAACTGCCCCTGCTCAAACCTGATTTCCACAAACTGATCCCCAGGTTTAGTTTTGCAGTGAATATTTTGGGCTGTAAGAGCCCTCTCCAGACACTGCCCTCCTGGAACACCTCAGGTTCTCATTTAACACTGGTACAGGTTAATTCTCTGTCTGTGCTTCTAACCCTCAAAAACCAACCAGTGTCAATGTCCAGCAGAAACAAGTGTACCAAAATTTGGATTTTTGGTTTGTAGCCATTTCTGCACCTCCTGATCATCACAAACTTATTCCATACCAACTGTGCTGTAACAAGCTGTGTCTTTAACACATTGTGGTCAGGAATTAAAATTTAAAATCAATCCCTGCAACCCCAAAAGCTCCTTCCCCACCAGTTTGATGTGAAGATACCAATATTGACACAGGAGACAGCAATGTGATTTCTGTGAAACTGCACACGCACACAAACACTCTCCTCCTGCTAGCAGGAAATAAAACCAAGCACCCCCCAGGAAAGCAAAACCTCCATTTTATGATTTCTTCCCCCCATACCTGACTGGAACTGGCTTTTTCGAGCCTGTCAACCATTATCTCAAACTGCAGTGGCTTGATTTCCATCTTCCTGTTCAGCCTGTTCAGAAGGGTCTCATCCTCAGAGTCCATATCATAATCTGGCTGCTCATTGTCCAGATTAAAGGCTGCAACACAAGAAATTGAAATGCTGGGTGAGTAACACACTCTGGGCACACAGAAACCAAAAATGACTGAGCAAATTCCAGCATTTCTCTTTTTAAATGCTGAAAAGTTTCCCCAAGTAACACCCAGCAGGTAGAAGTTGCTTGTCTCCAACTTCCAATATGGAAGGAATCCAAGAAGTTTCATTTGAAGGGGTGGTAGGCACAGAAACTTTGATGTATCTTTGCAAAACAAGAGTAAAGATGCTTAACAGTACTGATATAATACAGCTCCTCCAGAATATCATGGTAGGACAATAAGAACTGAGACCATTTCCAATCAAATTTCAGATTTGGAGAAAAAGCATTTACACTGAAGTCTCAATATAATTTTTGCTGCCCATTTTTTAAACAGTACACCAAACCTAAAGTGTTAAAATATTTAACAGACTAAACTTTTTCTGGTTTTATGTAACTGTGGAAATTTCAGCCCAATCCTATGGGAATTGTTACTTCTCCAAAAGCACCTCAGCTGTGGATGCAGAGCCTGACAATTCCTTCAGACACTTCAAACAGTCAGTTCTCATGTCTTTATTACTAATTGTGCTAATTAGTTTCCATACTTGACAAAGTTCCTGGTGCTACTAAAAGCAGAAGGAAGTTCCCATTCAGGTAACACAACAGAAATAAAACTTTACAACAAATATGAGTGAATTGCACATGGCAGTAAGAGCTGTTAATAGAAACATGAATTGTACACCTAATAAAACCCTGAAGGGGTGACACAGCACTCCCAGTAACTCCACCAGCACTGCAATACCAGCAGTTATAGGCCTGATGAAATATATTCTATTCTTAACAGACAACCAGCACTATCTTATCTCCATGCTCTTAACTTGTGGCTATACCAAGTGCTAATTTAAAAACCTCTGCTGCTGAGCTGCCCTGTGTGCTTTGAGGGCATCTTAAAACAAAAACTTGGCAAACCAGAGGCAAAAGAAAACCCCTAAAAAAGTCTTTAAAATAAATCCCAGTTTAGACAGGTGGTCAGCAGTGTCCTTCCACACCTCAGCCCTGCCCAAGACCTGTGAACCAGTGCAATAAATGAGCTAAACCACTACCAGCGTTTATTTATTTATTGATTTATTCAGACACAGAAACTCAGCCAGATGCAGCTGGGAAGGGCTAAAAAGCAGCTCCTCAGCATCTTCAGCTCGAGCTGGTACCTCTGAGAGGAGACACTGCCCAACTGTGCCAACAGCACTTGGCCACAAGAGCTCTCTGACCTACCACACACTGTAACAATTCATTTGAGGAGAAAATAATAACAGGCTGGAAGCATGTGTCAAGAAGTGCTGGCAATATGAATTCAGTAATACAAGTTGCATGGCAAGTTTATTTCAGACACTGTCACTGGGCATGTGACCAAGAGCTCTCCAGCAATTCACTGTGCACGAGGCTTCAACTGCAGCTTTCAACACCACATCTGCCTCTCCAGCACATCCCTGCTCACACGTGGGCTGGAAACCATTCAAGTCCACAAAAAGCTGGTTTGCCCTCAGGCAGATGTTGGTCTCACATCAGAAAAGATGTCAGCCTATTTCCTGTCAGCAGATAATTCAATAATCCCCTGTGGACAAAATGTTTCCAGGCAGTTTTTCCAAGCCAGAATATCAGTGAGCAGGAGGATGTGGGACAGAAGATGTGATGTTGTTCACCTGGAAGTTGTGAGCAGTGCCAGGAAACTTCATTTCCACAGTGGGAAAAGAAGAGTCACTAAAAGGTCCTAAAACCAGTGAGAGTGAGAGGCAACCAGGAGACACCAAGACAAGCAAAAAGAAAAC